ATTAGTACCAGCAGGGTGAAAACGACAGTCATCAACTGCAGCTCCCTCTTTTCCAACCCTTGCTTTATTAGACAGAGAGAAGGTCGGCTGTCAGATAACCTACCCGTATGGCAAAGTATTCGAAATATGCAAAAAGGCGATTACTTACATGGTGGGAATTCAATACACACATAACGATGAACAAGCACAGATCAACAGTTTAATAGCAATAATGAAAATAAAGCCATAAACAAGGTCAAAAACACACTACTTTCAAGATTAACGAATTAAAAGATAAATGAAAAACTATGCAAAATGGGGTGTTCAAAAAAAAAAATGTCTTGAAGCGAAAAACAAGGGTCCCCTACCCCACACCTCAGTTTGAAAATAATAAAGGCTAAGAACTAATAGCATTCAAATAGAAGCACACTACTGAATCAACTAAAAGAAAGTTAAGCTCATAATTTGAAAGAGATAATACTAGTATATTTAAGAAATAAGATGCAATTCTGTAATTAATTTCCCCCTTTTCTCAATCTTACATTTGTATGCCCAATGTGCCCACGCCCTTTTCCCTCTCATAATTGACTATTTGATTTCGTATCCCAGTCATCCTTGCGTTTCAACTCCATTGTATACATATGTGTTCAAAAAAAAAAGTCGTCTTTTTTAAAAAGCCAGCGAAGAATAAGCTTAGGGAGTACTATAAGAGTCGATCCCCTCAATCTGCATGAACCGTAGCCATCCCTCCTTTCTGCTCGAACGTGACCCAGCCTTATAGGCTTTCAAAGCAAGTTGAGAAAAAAACAATAATAATAAATATGAAATAATACAACAAAAAAAAGTACTATAAAACTCGCTCTTTGAGGAGCCCATCATTGTGATGACAGATCATCTGAATACAGCATCTATTCTAGGCTAGCATATGTTCGAAGAAAGTAAAAATGAAAAAATAAATTCTACATATACGTCTTCGGAATGCAGCTTTCAGGGGACTCCAGCATCTCCCTTGAATCCGCAAGCATGATCTCCATCTTCTCTAGAAACTTCACGATCATCGGGTAGCGAGGCGTATTTTGGGCCGCTTGCATATCCTCCTTCATCTTTGCAATAGTCATTTCGGCGAAATGGATGAACATAGAGACGCTATTCACTTTTGGTTTACGCGTTTCCACCTTACTGAAGCGCTGGAGGGTGGAGAGGCATTGATATAACCCTTGGCTACGCTCGCGCAACGAAAAGATTGCGGTGCTGTACACCGAGCGGTGCAGCGCCGCGTAAAAAACCGCGCGCGGCTCGGCAGGGTTCTTATCGAGAATCCGGTTGTAATGAATAATCCCATCCCCGACGCCGGTCGAGAAGATAGAAGAGATCCACACATCCTTATTCCCGCTCTTTGAGGTGCGGATTTGCTTCAGCAGGGAGGTGATTAAGATGATCCCTTGCTCCTCATCCTTGTTCCTTTCCATCTGCTTACCGGCAGCGGCGAGGCATCGGCTGAGGGACTGGTTAAAGCTCTTGGCGCTGTCGATGGCGATGTAGGTGAGGCCGTGCGCGACGTTGCCGAAATACGGGCTTTCCGCGACTTTCAGCGGTTCAAATTGGAGGTTGCCATCGCCGAAAAGATCCATCACCTGATCGTCTTGAAGCAAACACGCCGACATCGTGAACTCCGAATGGCTATCCAACCGCGCAAAGGTCTCCTTCACGACGTATTTCAGCGCTAACCATGAAAACCACGTCTGGGGGTTGGTCGCCGCGCCGTCCATATCGGCCATAATCATACTCACGTTGCTCCCACACAAAAAATGCTCGCGAATCTCATCCAACGAGTCGCTCTGCACCTCCACATCACTCGCGATCTTCACGCAGACGACGTCGGACATGTCGTACTTGTGAATCTCTTCCTGTGGGGCCTTCGAGTAGCGCACCGTGCAGCCGTCAATCTCCACGCTGCTCTCCCCCCCTCCCCCCCGCGGGCTCACTTCCGCCTCGTAGAGCAAAATCGGCTTCACATAACACACCTGGGAGGAGCCGTCGGACTTGTAGTCCGGATTCCGCGTGGACTCGGTGGTCTCCCCTTCCTTGCGGTATTCCATCCCATCTCGCTCGTGGTTCACCTTTTTAAAATACATCCCAACCCGTTTTTGGCTGTCTTTCCGCTCCAACGGGAGACTTCCCGCCGACGGTGAGGTCTGCGAGGTGCCCTCGCCGATGCTGTGGAAGGATCGCCGTTTCGGATCGCTCCCGAGGCGGCGCTGCCCGAAGGCCTGCGCGTTCAGCGAGGTGACGTTCATCCCGTAAATGCTCCCATTCTGGGCGTTGAGTTTGAGGTTCGAGGCAAGCTGCGGCTTCGGGCACATCGCGGCGCGTGAGAGGTTCCCGCCAAACCCGGGCATCCCCCCACCGCGGGGGAAATTCGCGTTGTTGAATCGGTAGAACTGCCCGGCGATGGAGTACTGCCGCTGGAGTTTATTCGTGCTGTCGTAGCGCTGCAACGTCGCGGCGGCGTCGTCGCCTGGGGAGCTGGTTTCACCCCTACGGCGAGGCCCCGCCGGATCGGCGGGTTTGATGAACCGTTTCACCCCCCCTGCGGGGTTCGCGGGGGTCGCCGGGAAGGCCTTTCGAAAACTCCCATACGGGCCCCCTTGCATCGGGAAGCTGTCGCCGTGTTTGGAGAGGCTGTCGTAGAAAGAACCCCCGCAAGGGGCGTTATCCACGTCGTTCTGCATCATCGACGGTGTTCGATTCCCCATCCCCGCGCTCAGCGATAAATCGCGGAAATAATCCGGCCCCGTCCCGTTACCGGATAACATCATATTCCCACTGTTCATCCGCATCAGCGAGTTCGTGCTGCCCATCCGCATCAACGAGTTCGTGCTGCCCATCCGCATCAACGAGTTCGTGCTGTTCATCCGCAAGAGCGAGTTCGTGCTGCCCATCCCGACGAGCGAGTTCGTGCTGTTCATTCGCAAAAGCGAGTTGTTGCGATTCATCCCCCCCATGTTTCCCGCACTTCCGGGTGGAACACCATAGGGCTGCACGGGAACGCCGTTCGCACGCCCCGCGGCCCCGTTATATCGACCCCCTCCCCGCACGGATGGATGCCGCTTCAGGGATTCTTGCGATTTCGCGTGTTTCACGGCACTCCCTCCTCCACTGGCATTTTCCGCTCCCGTTGTTCGCCCGTCATTCCCGCAGGTGCGGTTTCCAGAGGAAGTCCCTTTCCCCCCACTGCTGAGGTTCCTCAGTGTACCTTCCCTCCCCATCTGCGAGGATGTGCTAATGTTGGAATGACGATTAGACGATGTTGTGGACGCGACCCCACCCATTTTCTCCTTTTTATTATTTTTATTTTATCGTATTTCTTGGTTTTAAAAAAATTAAAAAAATGAGCTAGAACACAACTATTAAGGGTGAAGCTATTCTTTATAGGCCTCTCTTCCGTTCCTTACCTTTTATTTATTGTTTGTCTGTGTGCGTGTATAAAAAGTTACTTTAATAAACTGTGCGTGAAGGCCTTATCCTTAGTAGTTGATAGATGTGTCGAAACTGCAATTATATTCTTTGAGAAAAGGGTTGGATAAAAGGTATCATATGAACAAGAATCATGTGAATAACAGCTGAACCATGACGACAGTCCTTAGTTTGCGTCTTTAGGATCATGAACGACACAACTTTTACTGATGAAAAGTACAAAAGACACCTTATTTGAGTTCTCATCTTCTGCAACGAGTCCCCCAAAAAAGTTCTGTGGTAACTGTAATAGGATTATATAGATATTTATAGGTCGATATTCGTACTTTGGCATTCATTCTATTTGACATTATACGCCTAAAAAGATTTTCGCTTACAAAATGTGTGGAGACCACTACACCACACACCAACTCCCACCGCAGTTACCCTTAGCGTCTGTGAGCCTCAAAAACCGATCCCACACAGCTGCACGCACACGCCTCGTAGGAAGCAAGCGTGAAAACGACACACCTTTGTTTTGAAAGTTAACCTCAGGTTGAACAAGCACACCCCACAGATGAGTGAAAAAGAAGCTACCTAAAGGAGAACCGTAGCTCCCCTCAGGGCGAGAGCGTATCAATAATGTATATTTATACATAGATAGATAGATATATTAAATTTAGAGACGTACCCCGTCTCTGCAGGATTAAATCCCTCTATTTCAACCAATAGAAAACAAAAACTAGACGGTGTGATCCAAACATAATAGTAAGGGGTAATGCTACTGATAAAAATAAAAATAAAAAAGGGGGGGGGGGGGGACGGAGGGGGTGAGTATCCCCCACAACCAAAGCAAATCCTTCGACTGCCTTCTAAGATTCATCGCGATCTCCGATTTTCACCAGTGTGGTGCCCAACAAGCCCATCGATGCGGGGCGTGCACCGTTCCCAGCAGATTTTCCTCATTCATGGCAGTTTCGATCAACGCCTTCGCGAAGCTCATGGCGTCGTTCTCGTAGCTCGTTTGGTCGTCCGCGAGAGTCTTCCCGTTCTCCTCGCTGGAAAACGAAAGGGCGTCGTCGCCGGGCGAGGCGGAAGGGGAGGGGGTTGGATACTGCAGGAGTTCGATTAATCGACGCTCGTTCGCCTCATCGAGGCGGCGTTGGCGGCGCAGCTCGCGCAGCAAATCGCGCCGCGCGTCGATCTCGGCGGCGGGTTCGCTCACAAACCGCACCTCCCGGGAGGCGAGCTTCGCGCGTAGGGATTCGCTATGAAAGCAACGCAGCAGCTCCCCTTCCTCCTCCCGAAGAGAAGCCTCGGCGGTGGGCGGGGGATCCACGACGGGGAGGGCGTCCTCCCGCCGCGATCTCTTCTCCTCCCGCTCCGTCGTCTTCTCGGACCAGCCACAGGAGCAAAAGGCGGTGAGGCTGTCGAGCCCAAACGCGGAGATCCCGGTGAGATCCCGCGAAAAGACGAACAGCGCCGCGAGGCACTGCGCGAGGGCCGCCTGGAAGGCATTAAACGGACTCCCCAGCTGAAACGGCCGCACGAGGCTCGTCGTGAGGCGAAAAAGCGTCGGATCCGTTGTTGGATAGGGATTGCCGCACAAAAACCGCAGCGTGGGGTCGCCCGGCCGCTTTTCCCCGCGAGCCTCGACGGTGGCGGGGGGTTGCTGCATCGCGAATCGCCCCAACCCGTGCGTCGCGACGTGCCCGCTGACGGGGTCGACGAAAAACCTCCCGCACTCCCGCCGGGGGATATCAAAGAGGTACTCCACCGCGCTCCACTCCGCGAGCTCCTGGGTGTAGGTCCGCCGCGCCTCACACCAGTGGGCGGGGTCGATGACGTCCATCAAAAAGGCATCCGCGAGGGCGTTCGCGTGGCGAGGCCGCTCCGCGCGGAGGACGGCCAGGCGAACCTCGCACATCCGCGCCGCTGCCTCGCCGGCACGGCCCCTCCGGGCCCCCCGGACGAGGCCGGGGGGGGGACCGAAATGCAATTCACGCACATCGCCTTCACCCGACGCCGCGAACGAG